ACTACTACGGAATTTACATTCAAATGAAATAAACAGCCAATATAATAACTAAGTAAATTAAATCTTATAGGTTGGTGACATGTGCCATTAAAAAATGAAGGATGGCCTGAGAAAACAGTACTTTGGAGAGGATGGTCCATGAAGGTTTCCATGCAGAAGCCACATGTAGGTTAGTCTTAAAACATGAGGAGGCAGCACGGAAATTGGGAAGGGTGTGCCGGGTCAAGGACACAGCAAGCACAGGCACTGTGTCATGGAAAAGTGTGAAGTGTTTGAAGACTGCAAGACCAATGGGACTGACCATGCCAGGGTGAAAGGCTCAGTGATGCGACTTACGCTGGAACATGAACACTGTGGGCCAAGGCAAGGAAACCACTGGGGACTTTCAAGAAAATGAACAATCAACCACAGTGTCAAATTGGCTGCTGAGTGGAGAATGGATTACAAGAAGTCAGGAGTGAACTAGGGACACCACTGGCAGAACAGCCTAGTGGTCCCTTCAAGAGACACTGATCGTTAGGGCTAAAGCGGTGGCAGCAGCAATCGAGACAAGTAGATGGGTTCGAGACACACTTTGGGGATGAACCCAATCCATTTTGATGGATCAGGAACAAGAAGCAAGGATGCGTTAGGTCTCTGGCATGTAAATTTTGAGGTATCTCTAAGACATTCTGGTGAGGATGTCAAGTTGAATAAACACGCTTATATCTCAAAAGGAAATCCTGAGCCAGACACGCCAGTGGGAGTTTTAACTATACAAATGAGTTAATCTATTGAGTTAATATATTGAAAGTATCAAAATGAAATAATACATAAAAAACAGTAGCTACTTCCTTTGGCATGTAACAAACCATGCTTAAAATATATTAGTTATCAGAGACTGCTTATGGTGAAAACTTTCTTCACATGGTGTGACCAAAATATTGTGCGATAACAATAAACTGCATTCCTAACACTTTCTTCCTTCTTTCAATATTTATCTATTTTTATTGGAAAGACAGATTTACCAAGAGAAGGAGAGACAGAAAGATCTTCCATCCACCAGTCACTCCCCAAATGGCCGCAAAGACCATAGCTGAGCCAGTTGGAGTCAGGAGCTTCTTCTAGGTCTCCCACATGGGTGCAGGGTCCCAAGGCTTTGGGCCATCCTGTACTGCCACAGGCAAGAAGCTGGCTGGGAAGTGGAGGAACCAGGACACGAACTGGCACCCATATGGGAGCCCAGCGCATGCAAGGCAAGGATTAGCCACTAGGCTACTGCACAGGACCCTATTACTTTCTTTACAATGGAAATAAGAAACAGACAGTAATCTTCAAAAGTTATTCATGTATTTGAGGCTAATGTAGAGTGCTTTGTATATTTACATGTAGAAATGTAAAAGACACAAAGAAAACTCTAGCAAAAACATGTCACCCATATTGAAAAGTTCTGATAAACTACAGAAAAGACATATTACATTATATTTAAAATCATATTCATATAATTTGGCTTAAAATATGTTTTTAAGAAACTAAATGAAAACATGATTATAAGATTAGTAAGTTAATTTATGACCCAGCAGATTGAAATTTATGCTAGCACAGTAGTTATAATTAAGAAAACATGGCTTCACCCCATTATTTTGTTTCTATTATTAATCTTATCTGTGAACTTGTGAAAATTATATATCCTCTTTGTTCCTCAATATCCTAATCTGCAAAACACAGATAATTATAATCTATCTAATCAGGCTATCAGGTGAGCTTACAATAATGTGTGTAAATGTGCAGTAGGTACCTGAAGTAAAGAACAAATAAGCGATCTGCTTGGCTCTTGACCCTGTGTGAACCCTAGCATCTAGGTAATTTTAGAAATACTGATGGCCGGGCTTGAATCAAACCGGTTAAATCAGAATTTTTGGAGGAGGGCCTGAAACCAATCAAAACTGCATAAAGGCAGGCTGTGATTCTAACATGTGTCCAGGGTTGAAAACTACTGATATTTAATGAAAGCCCCATTCAAAATATAGGTGTGTCATCATCTTATTGTGTGTTTTTATTATAAATTGTATTTGTGCAGTCTAGAGTAATGTCAATTAAGCAAATGGTCATAATTTCAAAAAATCTGTCTTGTAGTTAAGTTTGGGAAAAATGTGAAGGAAAAAAATGTAAGAAAATTGGAGAAGCAAATAAATGCTACTTAGGGAAAGGAATGTTCTAAGCTCTCTGGAGTAAACTTGTAGCTCTTGAGTCCCAGTTCCACCACGCTGACTCTGTTACTTTAAGCTAATTCTTCAACCTCTGTTTCTTCATTTATAAAATACAGACAGTAACAGTGACTGCATTTCATCATGCTGTTAGAGACAGCATCAGATGATTTAACACTTATAAAATTCTTAGATAATATCTAGTATATAGGAAGCAAAATATATATGTATATATTAAAATGCGTAGGAGTATTCAAGATGAAATTTAGTAGTCATCAATATGTAAAAAGTTTTGAAGTGACTATCAGTAAGACATGGTTTAGGCCTTATATCAAAGATCCAAGGATCCTCAGTCATACTAGCCATCTCTCACTCTGAAAAGAGGATCCGTTAACTATCCAGGCCTGCATAAGACACCACGGAAGAGGTTAGTCCACGTGTCTGGCACCCTGAAGCCCTGAGGCTCAGATATATGATCAGCTGTAAGGAATTTTTAAAACACAAATATCATGCACAGGTGCTGGGCTCGGTTTAGATCCTTGGAGGCCGACTTCGAGTCATGGCAGTAACGGGCCCTTCTTCATCTCACCTAGACACACGCTTATCTAATTCTTAGGCTTGTTCAGAAGGCCTCGTCTCATACTCTTGCTCCATGCAGGCCACTCTTCACTTGTCCAACACATCTAAGGGTTTGCCTCCTCCAAGTCTTTGGGATGCTTGTGGAATGCTCTTCCTAGAATGTTTTTCCCACTCTGCTCTGACCATATCATCGCCGACCCTTACACCTTCTGAGACACAAGTACCATCCTCTTTCAATACATGTTTGCCTCTGCCTCCTATCAAAAATAACCATTCCCTTTTTTGCATTTACCTATCCCATGGCATTTCAACTAACATGACTGAATCCCCCTAACACCAGTGACACCTTCTATTTTATTTTATTTTATTTTACACATATATTTATTTTATCAGCAGCACCTATCACAATGTGAATTAATTGCACTGGCTTGGGGAATAGAAGGAAGGGATGGGGAGAAACAAAGAAGGAACGGCGTCCATCTGCATGATGGAAGCTCCAGAAGAGCATGAGTATATCCATGGGAACTTTCGGCTTCTGAGTTCAGTAAGGTCAACAAGCAACCCACTCTCAGCAGTGAGTCTCTCCACTGTTCTTACTGTACAGAGTAACACCGCTCCACATTTCAGTGATACTCAGAGCTCTGAGACAGGGAGAAGAGCTCTGCAAAGCTTCAGAGAGAGAGGTCATTTACAAACATTGTGAATTCTTTGACTTCCCATTTATCTAAATTCACTCTCATCTTTCAAAGATCTTCTCAACTGCCACTACTTCTTGGAAGTCTTTCAACTTAGCGGAGACAAAATTCTGAGACACACCATTTCCAGCACGGTGGATTAAGAGCGGGCACTTGGAGAGGCTGCTCAACTAATAGCTCTGTGGTTTAAGGCAAGTTCCTTAACACTTCAATGTCTCAATGCACTTGCTTGCAATAAAGGGACAATGGTTCCTCTTAGCAAAGACGTATAAAGAAGAATTAATATGTATAATAAAGACCTTCACATGGAACTAAATAATGTTAGGATTTTATATTATGCATTGTTAACAATTCCTATTATAAATGTTACATTAATAGCATAGGAAAGAATTACTGAATTTCCCTCCATCCTCTTTCTACCCTTTTTTTGTTTTTCCTTCCACCTGTAAATAGAAAAAAATGTAGCTACCTGTATTTTAATTCCAATAACATCATTCATTTTAGATGTCAGAGGACTATACATACTGACCATATAGAGATTATACTTTTACCTTGTATGTACATAGTCCAGTATACGCTTAACTTACAAAACAGATTTCTCTTCTGTGAACCCTCTGTGGTGCTGATTGCTTCAGAATTTATATCAGCAATTGTGCAACTTGACAAGATAACCCTTGTGTAACGCTGGAGAAATGAAAGGACACCCTTGCCCAAGATTCATAAGTTTCAAGTAAGACAGTATGTGTCAGGTGTACTGGGACACTCTTCTTGAAACCAGAATGAACGGGACACAAGTAGAAAGCTGGTTACTCAGCTCAGTTTCAGTTCCTTCCTAACTTTGGGAAACCTCTACTATCTGTGAAGACCAAGCCATCAAAGAATTATCTATGTGTAGTTGGAGATTAGGCTAAGCAAACACCTACAGACACCCACCAGCCCCATTTCCACCCTCCCATCAGGAGGGCCAACATCTTTCTGAGCAAATGAGCTGCAGAGGGCTCCAAAGAGACTGAGACCCTTAGGATCTGGGGATCCTTAACATGATGCGTAAAGAAACATTCCAGGTTATTCCCCATAAGGATAAATAAACAACCTGCTAATAGATTATTTTCAGTTTATATTTAAAATCAACGAACAATTTCACATACAGTGTGAATTTGGAGAATTATTATTTTAAGCTTATTTACACATTTGAAAGCGGGCAACAGTGAAGGGGAGACTTATTTCCCTAATGTCACAACAACCAGAACCGTACCAGGTAGAATCGAGGGGCCAGGAAATGCATCCAGGTCTCCCCCATGGGTGGCAGGGACCCAAGCCTTGAACAATAATCACTGCCTACCAAGATAGACACTATAAGGAAATCAAATCCAAAGCAGACACAGGACTGGAACCTAAGCACTTCAAAACGACATGTAGGCATCCCAAGCACCGGCTCAACTGCTGACTGTAGAGCCTACCCTCATTTTGAGCATTCCTGATTATAAAAAAGACACTGTTTTAGAAGCCGCATGTTTTTCTAGACATCTTGTGTTCTTACCAGATCAAGTTCTTAAGTTCCTCAAGGAAAGATGTCCTCTTGATCAAAAGGTTTTCTTGCTTTGTCCAATTCCTCTCTGCAGACTTTTAATCCAGCCACTGAACAGTCATTCTGTCCTGTTGAGCAAAAAAAAAAAAAACCTGTGTCTTGATTGGTTTACTTCACTTCCATCATTTACTCACCAACAAAATTTGGATAATAATACTGCCTACTCCCTCCATCTCACAGAATTAGTTTGAGGACACAAGAACTGCTAATGAAGCCAATGCTCAGCTACCAAATGTCACTGCGTGCCCACTCATTCCATCCTACAGCACAGCCCAAGAGCTTCAATCCAGGATGTCCAGAATAGGGCAAGAGGCAAGCAGAATCAGACAAGGAGATAACAGCAGTGACACCCTCCCTCCTGGATCTCTGAAGCACAATCTACAACACGATACATTCCACGGCCAAGGCAAGGAAAGCACTTTGACACGTTCAACCAATCTGGTAGATGCTGGGGAAGGGAATGGTTTGCCTCCTGGTGGAGCTGCTTCCTTTGGACACAATTATATGGAATAGTGAGCAGCCCCAAGCAGTAAGCAATCAAAAGTAACAGCAGATAAGTGATGGATGCTCTGGTTTTGATGAAGGGAATCTGGGAGGAGTACCAAGAGTATCTACTGTACTGCATTTTCTTAACAGTGTAACTTTGGATAACCACTACTCCCTTACTCTCAAGATGGCCAGGTGGAATTGAATCATCTCCATCTCCTACTCCAATAATCAATCAAGGTGAGCAAGGCTAACTCAAATATGGTCATAATTATTGATTTATGAACACTTACGATTTAATTTCAAACAGCAAGATCCAAAGCTAACATTATTGTTGTCGTCATTTGTTTTGTTTTATTCTTTCCATTTAATTTTAGTCTGCTGAATATTAGACATAACTGATGATATATACATATACCAATGTAGGATACGTATGAAATAATATATTATGGTTGTTTATGACAAAAGTTTTTATAAATAAATAAATTCAGGGTATCAGTATTTGTGAACAATCTTATGCTTCAGAAATTTCCCCATCTATAAAATGAATGTGAGAATAATAATGACTCAAAGATCCAATAGGAAGCATGCAATGAAGTGGCACAGCACAGCACTCTGAACAACCTGGAACTTAGAAAGCATCCCATAAAAATTAAGGAATGCTCCTCTTTGATAAGGTAGGTTTTGAGGGCCATTTAAGAATGGACAAACTCCAGTTCCTCACCGGTAAACAGAAGGTATGCTGGCAAAAGATGCACTCCTAATCCCCTCCTCTAGCCTTCTGCCCACCTACTCTCCACGGGCACATTCTTAGCCATCTCATCCCTTTTCTTTCTTGCTTGCTTGCTTGCTTTCTCTCTCTTTCTTTTAAGATTTCTTTCTTTTTATTGGAAAGTCACATATACAGACAAGAGAGACAAAAACATCTCCCGTCTGCTGGAGCTGAGCGAATCCAAAGCCAAGAATTTCTTCTGGGTCTCCCACGCAGGGGTAGGGTCCCAAGGCTTTAGGCCATCCTCTGCTGCTTTCCCAGACCACAAGCAGGGAGCAGGATGGGAAGTGGGGTGGACAGGACATGAACTGCCATGTCCATTGGCTCATGCAAGGTGAGGACTTGAGCCACGGGGCTTCTGTGCTGGCTAAATACTTCTCATGGCTTCAGCTAGGACCTGCACATCCATGTTGTGCTTCTCAACCACCATTCACATCTGTTGTATTCATCTTGATTACTGTTGGAGCATGCAGGCATCTGAGCACCATTCGTTCTCCACTCAGCTACCCACGTTCTTCTCCTAAAAAATATGCCCTCCACCCCCACACCATAAAAAAATGCCTAAGATAATTTTCTAGGATAACTTCAGTGGCTGGACATTTCCAAGTCAGTGATGTCTCTTTGACCCACAGAAATTTTACCACTTCAAGCTCCTTTCTATTCTTATCCATACATCTCAAATTTCAACACAAATAAAACTAAGTGAATCTTTCCAGAAATATGTGTTCTAATTGTTTTCATTTGCCTTTGCTCTTTTTATTCTGCTACCTTAAATGCCTTGCCTGCCACCATACTCACTTGCATGCTTTCTTCTTTACACTTCAGTACTCAATTTGAATTCTCAAACTGCATAGCTTTTGCCATGATTAATAAATCTCTCAGGATCTATTGTTCACTCAGTTGGACTTACATATTCTGTGTACATAGAACTGCATGAGTTAATAGTCTTAATAGGCACAAGATGGCCAAATAATTGCAATTCCAAGTAGTTCAACCTGTAAAGTAATACATTCCTTTTATATTTTTCATCCTGATTCACCAGGAAGTTTCATTCTTTTAGTACATTGGTCACAAACTCCACCTTCCTCATTTTTGCATGCTTAATGCCAGACAAGTAGATGCGCAAGAAATGCCTGTAGAATCCAAGGCAAATACTATGTGACATTCCGTTGAACTACAGTAAGTCAATGCCTTAAGCTTTCATTTTCTGGAATCTGACAAAGCAAAACTAGCCACATAGGACATCTGTTCAAACTAGGATTTTTTTTTTTTTTTGTAAGCATCACACCTGCACTTTCCTGCCCCCATCTCTGTCAGGATCTAACTTTCACAATCTGCTAACTGCGTAACCTTGCCAGAGACCATTCTCAAGGACCATGCCTCAAGGATCACCCTTCTATCATACAGCAGGCAGGCAATTTGTAAATGACACCATTCAACGCATTTCATTCATTTATTCATTTGTTCATGGAGATACAGCTGTAAATTCTCCAGCTAGAGTTTACATATTTAGAATGTCTCTGTTGCCTTTTCTAGTCTTCTAACTTTTCACTATAAAAAGTATCTCAGGCCCAGCATGATGGCCTAGTGGCTAAATCCTCACCTTACACACCCAGGATCCCATTAGGATGCCAGTTTGTGTCCAGGTTGCTCCACTTCCCCTCCAGCTCCCTGCTTGTGGCCTCCAAAAGCAGCAGAGGATGGCCCAATGCCTAGGGACCCAGCACCTGTGTGGGAGACCTGGAGGAAGTTCCTGGCTTTGGATCAGCTCAGCTCCCCAATAACCACTTGGGAAGTGAAGCAGTGGATGGAAGATTTTTCTGACTCTCCTTCTCTCTGTAAATCTGCCTTTCCAAACAAAAAGTAAATCTTTTTTTAAGAAATTCTCAAAAACATTTTGAATATATTTTAAATATAACTTGTGTACTTGAATAGTTTCAAATGTATCACTTTAAATCACTAAAAACATTGTAAGTTGAAATATTTACAAATGATATAATTTTAAGCATCACAACACTATCACTTTACAGTTATATCATTTAACTATATCCAATAAATTTGAATCTTTTAGCAACTTGATACCAATGGCTACTTAAAATGAAAAAAAAATTTAAGAGCTGAGGATTTTGTATCTTTCCTTGTAACCTTTAACCTCATATTTGTATTATATTATTCCTTTGAATTTTACATACATATACGAAATCAAATTAATGTTTAATTCAGTTTGTGAGAAACATTGTGTAGTATATTTCTGAGAAAGAGAAATCAAGGATATGTTGGTTCATTTCCTGAATTGTCCACAAAAGTCAGGATTAGGCCAGGCAGAAGCCAGGATCCTGGAACTCAACCCAGGGCTCCCATGCGGAGGGCAGGAATCCAACCACTCATCGTCAGCTACCTCCCTAGGTGTGTCATAGCGAGAAGGTGGGATCAGAACCCAGGCTCTCCATGATGGAAGGTAGGCGTTGTGGGTACCTGCTGCAGCCACCTGGGGAGTGAACCAGCAGATGGAGGGCCTCTATTTCTCTATCTTTCCTTCTCTCTTTTTAACTCTGCCTTTCAAATGAACAAATAATCTTAAAAAAAAAAAAGAGAGAGAGAGAGAGAGAGAAAGGTTTGCTGCTAAAGATTTTTTTTTTCTTTTTCATGGAATAGTTTGACTTTGTAAAGCTTAAAACTTCCGATCTTCTGGGAGGCTAAAAGTATTAAGATCAAATTTGATATAATACTCTTTATGTCATCAAAGTCTAAAAAGCTTAATATTTACTTCAAACACATCTTCTCTTGGCATGGAATTTTTTAAGATTTTGCATGGAATAAGTTATTAACTGAAGGAGTTAGCTTCCCAGAATGGGAAGAAAAACAAATAAATGAAAGATATCCATTACATATCACACAGGTTTCATCATTATAATAAAGTAAGGGAAAAACAATATTTATGGGACACCTGTTTTTTTTTTAATATTTATTTCCTTTTTAGTGTTGTTCACCTAGTTGAGAAGGATGTATGCCCAAGTAGGCCACTGATCAGGGTGGGGAGGGACGAGATATGGAGAAAGGAAGGTGGGACAAATGTTTCTAATTTTTTTTTATCCTATTTCTGCAGGGTTCAGGGGAAGAGGCCACTATTTGCTTCCAAACTACATCAGCATTCAAGAATAGGGGATGGTCAGTTGTTGATTCTTTAGGGACCCCGATATGGGTGTGAATGTTCTGAGGGTGGTTTTGATAACTCTAAGACATTGTTGATTTCATCACTTAGGGTTGAGAAAAGCTTTCCAATGTCTATTGTTTGACAAAGTCCACCTAAATGCATCCACATACCCAGGCACTTACTGCCAAAGCTTAGCCAGGAGAGATGTCCAGCCCATCTGCTTTCTATCCTCTGACATGGCACTCGACTTCCTCTGCTGGCCTACATGACCTGGCTGTCATGTCCTACATGTGTATCTGGATATTCATGGGCATCACTACATGGGCATCCCCCAGATTCACTACATGGGCATCACAGCTGAGGGAAGCCAGTCCCAATATATACACTTCAAGACTGGATCTCATATCCTCTGATTTTACCTGTTACTAGAGTTTGAGTCCACAGGTCTAGTTGGGGTGTCTCCCAGACAACCTCACTTGGGTGATCTCACCTGACTCTTGTATATGCCAGCTAGTCTGAGATTTGTGTTCAGTCTGTCACCCACATCAGCCTATACACATACCAGTGAATATAGTTTCCTGTTCAGTTTCATCTCCAGCCCCATGTCCGATGCAAACTGGTGGGTACTGTGGCCTGGCTCAACTCAGCCTGC